TCTCCCACTTCTATGTCTATGTCTATGGAAATCTTACACAGAGCACTAGCTGTTTCTCTCAAATTGCCTACCAGTGGCTCCTGCCTTTACGAGAAACCCACCAGAAGCAGAAATGCAGATGGGATAACACTCAGGTAGCACCGACACAGTGGTCTGATTATGCTTATAGAGCATCGGATCTATCAGGTGCCCTTCTGGCAGTGCAGTTGATGACAGGGGGAGGCAGAACAGCCAGAGCCAACTGGTACATTTGATGCTGAAGATTTCAATGTGACAGGATTTAGTAAATGAGAACTCAGCCAACAATCATCAGGAGAAAGATTATTTGACACAGGAGAAAGACTGTCCCCTACGTCACCTTGCTCTTTAACTGATATTTTGGCTCTCTTCCATTTTCTTAGGGGAGGGCAGGTAGGAAGAAAGATGTAGGGGGAGAGGGAGTATCTTACAAATGTTCACTGAACCGAACATACATTTGGCCAAGTTACTGCCAAATTGAGCAGGTTTTTGATGTCACCCTTAGGTAGATAACTAGCTGGAACAGACTTGCAAACAGCTTAGGCAGAATCCCAGCTTCAGACTGAAGAAGCCATAGGAATGTGCCAGCTTCCACTAGGTCACAGTCTGCTTTTCCAGAAAAAGCAAAACTGAGGACTGTCAAGAATTACATTTCTTGGATTTTACTTGCTCTTATTTGAAATACATGCATTGGTCACATACTGACTGCATAGTCAATAGTTAACTACAAATGAAGTAGAAAATGTGCCCTTCTAGTTAGACATGGACTATTGAAATTCTATGCAGTACATAGGTAATAAAACATTTTTAAGAGCAGAAGAAAACGTATACAGTAGGTGTGGCTTTCTCGGTGGTTTTTCTAATGCTTTTATATGTCTAATCCAATACAAAATAAAACGTCAGGCATCCAGTAGTCTCTGGGAGGGGAGGATCATGTGAGAAATGGTCAAACTCTATAGAACCAGCTTAACAGACAAACTTTGAATTTTTGGCAGCAGGGGTGTGTAGCTGTAGATTGGAACCAAACCTTTTCTGCCAACATTAGTGAATAGTGCTGAAAGCTCATGCAAAATAGGACAAGCTAGACCCTTGACATTTTTCTCGCACTTGTTGCTTTTTAAATCACTGCCTTTGCATGCAAAAGTTTGTTGCATTCATCCATTATGCATGTCCTAGAAATTTGATAGAGGTCTCATATGTTCCTTCTAAGAGGATAAAGCCAGCTGCAGTACCCAATTGTAAAGATGTGGTTACTGCCTTGAAATGTCATTTGAAATGTCATTAAGCGTATTATTTGGTATTCCTCTGACTTGAATCTTTTGGATGGGCATTTAAAAATGCTTGTCCTCTCTGATTTTAGTGAACATTAGAGACAGCACACAATTTTCATAAAAGAAGGCTCAAGGGGTTGTTACTGGTCCTGTAGTAAAGATTTCATCTTTCTAGTGATAACGTAATGTGGTACAGAAGGTGTTGCATAGAAGTAGCTGTAGATCTTGGTGCCTGCCTTTCTGGGAAGTGTTTTAGGAATATGACTTTCTTCAACTAACCTGTTCATGTACCTACCAGATCATGCTCAGCCTGGGAGTATTGTGTGTTTTTTTCTGTTATTTCTAAAAGAAGGGTTAGCAATGTCAGTGGCTTTGTTTTAATCACGTTTGATGAATTAACTGTAACATTTTCACCTACTACCGTGTAAGGTTAGCTGTTCATTAAAAACTCAGGAGAAGGTGCCATCACCAATAGTCTTTCTTCCAGCATCTGAATTTCCTGGTTCTCCCTTCAAGTTTGGTGTGAATAAGCTAGCTGAAAGTAGGATGACATCTGAAATGTGTCTGATCAAGCTAACTTCTCATATTAAGTATTGTCGTCATTATTATTATTATTACTACCTAGTTCTGTGTGATTTCATTGACAAGCTACACAAATCTTCATAGAGGTATGCTCTGTTGTGTGTGAAACAAACATGGAATACAAATGCTACTGATGAAGTTTTGTTATTGATTTTTGTTCAAACAAAACGTGCCCAAAATAGAGTCAGGTAAAAAAATGGAGACCTTGCCCTGGTTTATATTTTTCTTCCTTTATGAGAGATTTAATTGGAAATCTAGCAGGAAATTAGGCTGGAACATTACCAACTGCATGGCTGGCATGCCATGAAAGATCAAGTGCCTGTGTCTTTCATATTGCATGCCAAAGCAGCTTTATCAAGCGTCTGGGATTTCTTGTGGATTTAAGGATATCAAATATTACCTCAGCAGCTTCAGTAGCAAAAATATTCTAAGGTACATAGAGTAGAAAAGCTACACAAGTTCTCATATAGTGTTTAGAAGTTCAGGGTGAAGAACCTTTTGCATTGTCATCTTAAAAAGGAAAAAGAAGGCTACAGAAGCTAAACAAACTGTACACAGTTCTTTTGACTGTTCATTTCCTAAGCATCTTTCCAAAGAAGCATTTAGGAGGATTGCTTTTTCAGGGCTAGCCTCTGGAGTATTTCATCATGTCAGCCAACCATTCCACAGGAGTAAATGGCAACCTACCTCTTACAAAAGTCCCTTTTGGATTTTGCCAGTTTACCTTACCTGGTACACAGTGTGTCTCTGGGGAAAATTACTCAGAAGTATCTACTTGCCTGTCATTTGTTCATACAAAAGAGATCAGAGTTCAGCCTGTAAAACCAGAGAGGGAGAGAAAGAGGAGTGCTCAAGTCTTTCTGTCTGTCCTGCTTAGGCGGAAAACTTAGTTGCCCCAGAGCCAAAGTCACACGGAGCTAGTTTCAGTGACTTGAGGACTCTGCTCAGCAAAGATCTGTCTCTATGCTGAGGGATCATAGTGCCATGCCTCTTGACAGAATAGGATTTCTTAAAGCCACATTTATCCCAGGGACCTTGTCAGAAGTGGATTACCATCCTCCACAGACTCTGGTATTCAGTAGTTGTCCAAACCAGGAAGGAAGCACTTGTGCTTGTGAAACTGTGCTGGAAATAATTCAGCTGTTTACGTGTGACAAGAAGCTTTTAAACCAGACTACTTGAAATTGGTTAGCTGTTTCTCTTTAAATTGAAGCTGCCAGAAATATTTTAGCATTGACAAAAGAAAAGAGGAGGGGAAAGCCATGATCAAGGAACCCTCTACAAGGCATAATCTAAGGCTATTTGCCTGTTACTGGCAACAGCAACAGGGAGATTCAACATCTTTAGGAAGTTTAAATGAAAAGATTATAACTCTGTATACACCTTGATACCGATTACAATATCATCAGAACCATCTATCACAAAAGGCAGCTAAACTTGACTATTCATTTCAGAGGCCACAGTCTTTTCCACAAATTGTTTGACTACAGTTTTATGCAGCGACTAGTGGGTTTGGCATGTGCAGATTAAATACAATTTGAACTCTTATCGATGCAATAGATGGAATCATCTATACCTCAGAAAAGGTTGCATATAGCAGCTGCAGATATTCCATATCTAACACATGGTATTTTCAGGAAGGGACAAACTGGAGCAAGACAGATGAAAACAGTTGGAGCCTCAGGTGTTCAGGTCAGAGCACGTTGCAAAAGAGAGATCTGGCAGATATCAAGGATGGAGAAGTGGGTATTTTCTACAGCTTTTTGCTATGTTGACAGTGCCATTGTAGTTTCAAAAATTAAGCATGTCTCACAGAAAGAGTGGAAAAGAACACTAGGAAAAATGCTCATTTTGGCTATGGGGATGCAGTTTCTTTTGAAGTCAATGGGAGTTGCTTGCTTATATCGTCTTTGGAAGGGAAAAAAAGCCTCAAAAGACTGCAATAAAAAGACTGTGCTTACATTTGAAATGGAAGGACTTCACCACGATTACCTGATGCTACTCTGCCTGGTTTGTTCATTCAGAAAAACCGGTATGATAACTGCTGTGTAAGTGAATAGACTGAAATTTGGAGGGTGGGTTGACGAGATGTTCCTGGCTGGCCTCATTGCTATGGCCCTGTCAGCACACATCAGCTGTAACCCATAGGAACTAAATACTTTTGAAAACAAGTCATATTTCATCCTTCATGCTTTTTGAATCTAATCTTGTTTTAACAGTTTGCTGGGTGTACCAGATGATTGATGCTGTCACACTGCAGATAAAATTTATCATTCTGTCATTTTTATTCAGTATTTTAGAAGCATTTTGGGGCAAGCTGGAATCTGAAGCAATGTTACACATTTTTTTTTTATGGTTCACCTTAGTTATAAAAATAATCCGTCTAATTCTCAGTGATTCATTGGCAGACATTTCCTAAATATGGACCTAGAATGAATTAGTAGGTTAGTTGAACCTGAATATGTCTTGAAATACATGTGCTGTATTTCTTTTTAAATATGCTACAAGGAGATATAAATGAATATAGGATCAGAACCTTGTGAAGTACATGGAAGGAGAACAGTAATGTTTAGTCATGTGCATATTTGGCCTAGTTTCATAATAAACATCACAGGATAATGTCAGCTATTCACAACAATTACATGGGATGTAGTGAAAAGCTCAGCAATGAGTAATGAGAACTGAAGAAAGGTTTGAGCTCCTGAAATTTCAGCATCTAATAATGTCAGAGTTTTTACCTGTAAAGATAGTCTGCAAGGACTGTGCTTTGTTCAGTTCAGGGCTGAGGCCTCAAAGCAGCATTTAAATGGTGTTGTATCATGCATGATAATTAGCAGGTCATAAAATTACTCTAAAAAGGAAAGAGACTGACTTCTGATATAGCAGGAGTTCCATTATATACTTTAGAAACAGATATTTACCGTATCTTCAAGTCTACTTGATTTGAATTTACTGTCCATATGAAATTATGAGGTTGCCTGTGTCACAATCCCAGAGAAATAAGGTCCAACTCGGGGTGAAAACAGTGAGAGCTGAACTTGCTTGTTCCTTCAGAAACCAGCTGCAGAAGATTGGTTTTGGTACACTTCCACATGTGCTACATAATTTGCTCTTTCTGTGTTTCAACAGGCCTTGAATAGGGGCATCGCTGCTGTCAAGGAAGATGCTGTGGAAATGCTGGCCAGCTATGGGCTGGCATACTCCCTGATGAAGTTCTTCACGGGTCCGATGAGTGACTTCAAAAATGTGGGTCTGGTGTTTGTGAACAGCAAGCGAGATAGGACCAAAGCAGTTTTGTGCATGGTTGTGGCTGGCGCTGTAGCTGCTGTATTTCATACCTTAATAGGTAAGGTCACTTCACGACTAATTAATAAGTCTTTTAATTTGCTTCCCTCACTTGTTCTTCAAACGGATTAATCTGTAGGCTTAAGATTTCATTTATAAGTGCAACAGAAGATGCAAAAGAGATTAAATCTCTTGGGCTGGTATCATGCCCATCCACGCAATTTTTATGACTTTTTAAACAGGTTGTTAAGTGGCAGCTTCCACCCCCAGGGCTCTCCTGCCTGGCAGCAAAACATGCTGCTGATCTCTTTCACTCAGGTGTGTGAGCAAAACTTTGGCAAGGTTGACAGGTTGCATGAAGCTGGTAGCTCAGTCTTACTGTTAGGTAGTGATGATCAACTAGCAGTATCTGCCCAAATGGACTTCAGGGTGTGCTTGGTAGGGCTGTTTGTCAGAACCTTGTGGCATAGTCGGTGTACTCCCTCTGTACCTATCCCTTTGCTACTTATCTCACAGTGCAAAACTCTAAGCAAGTAGGTGCCAGCATCCTCGTTAAAATACCAGGTATTACTCTCTACTAGTGCTAGTCATCATCCACTTCTGTTGAATAATTAATCTGTAAGAGAAGAAGTAGTTACTAAGAGCACTTTATGCCAAACTGAGACCAGCTCCCTGAGTGTACTCTGAAACAAAGAAAATACACAAACAGATATGAACTGAGCATAAAAAGTAAGGCAGCGACAGGATTTGCCAGTTTCTGAGAGCCTGGAGAAATGGGATATCAACCCAAGCATCAGCCACAGCAATAGAAAGCCATGTGACCTGGAAGACTTTAACTTCATCCTCTCCAAGAACTGCACCAGATTCTCTGCACCTTCTGGCTCATTCTACAGAGCCAAAACCTCTAGACCTCAGCAACAAGGAACAGGAGATGCTGGAGGAAGAAGCAGAGAGTGCATTGCATTCAACAGGTAAAATCCTAAAAGCTGGGAGCTCTAAGGGATGGGAGGAGGGAGGTAATGCAACAGCCTATGGAGGTGTGTATTGGTTGACAGGCAGTAGGGTTGAGCTGGATGACCGACCAGCAGTAGGGGGTCATTCCATTGCAGAAAAATGGGAAGGGCGAGTGTGATGGTGATATCCAGAATTGCTGTGAAATTACAGAGTGGCCTGGAAGTGAGGCACCATTCATTATCAGCAGTTAGTATCTCAAGAGCACCACGTGCTGCTGGTCAGCTTATAGAATAGAATAGAATAGAATAGACTATTTCAGTTCCTGCCCAAGTAGGTACAAGAGCCACATGGTAGATACGAATGCCCCCTGCTCTTATCCTTTAACAGTCTGCCAGCTATATTCACCAGCTTTATGAGCCTCACAAGCACTCCAGGTTGTTTGACCATCATGTCTCTTATTCCACCACTGATATGGCAGCCCTGTGCTGTTTACATTTACTCCATGTTACAGTCATAATAAATGCTTACAGTAACGCTCACAAGCTGTGGCAACTCTGTGCCAGGGATAAGCTGTTGCTAATTTTATAAGCTGAATCCATGCATTCAAGTTAATTTAATTCACTGGTATTGATTGGTCACTTCCTCAATATGTTTACAGTTGAGGCTGCTTTATTGAGTTAGTATTATAGACTTTGGGCCATTTGTACGTTTGGCGCTCACATTTCTTTGCTTGGAATGTTTCTGCAGCCCCCAGAGCTGCTCTTCCAGTTGCTCACTTGTTTTCCTGCCAGTGCTGGTCAAAGTTTTTGGCTTTGCCAGCTGGATAAAGAAACATTTTCTCATCATCCAACACTTTATTTTAAGCTACAATAGATTTTAAGAAAATTTGAAGTATAACTATCAAATTTCCAGGTGAAAGACATAGCTGGATTTCCCATGTAGGACTTCTTATTAAGGGGAGGTGTTTGGGGCAATGCCAGATAAGTTTCTTGCCTTTGCCTGGAAGTAGAGACCTGCTGAGTTCAGAACCTCTGAAACACCCTCTCTGCAGATATTGGGGGAAAAAAAAGAGAAAAGGTGGCTGTACTTACCATGCTTTAAAGTCCTGAATTAAAGGGCTTCACACACTCTTTATCTGCTTATGGTGGCAGACTGCAAAATATTTTTTAGTATTTTAACTTGTCTATGCCTGAAAATATGCAAAGACCACAGCAGAGACTGGCAGAGTGCCTGAGAGAGTGGAGTTAGTCAGATTCTAGCACCAATTGCCTGCATGATGTTGCCAAGTTTTATGTTCCAAGTTTCCTTTGAACCTGTTTCAAATCCTGATTATTCTTCTCTGACCCACAGATGCACAACCTGCCTAGCAGGAGGAAGAGAAGGAGTCCAGTGACATATAGGCAGCCTCCTAGGACCTGCAGCTACTCCCCAGCAGCTGCAAGCCTATCACAGGCTATCTACAGGAGACACAAATACAGGTTACTGATGCTCAGCAGATGAAAAAGAGAAACAAACAGCGCTCGGGGGACTGCATTTCTTCTACATGCCATGTGTATGGGGCTAAGAAAGATGACATGACTGTCTGCCATGGACTGTTGAATCGCAGGATGGAACAGGGAACAAAAAGTCCAATGAAATAAGGAGTACCCAAAGTTAGAAGGAAGAAAACAAGTGGTGGTAGAAACACAGTAACCACAGTGAATCACCACATTTCCAATGGTGATAGAGACTATTTGCAGTCTGCACACACAGCTCCTCACAAACAGCAGCCTCTACTTATTTAAAATACCAAAACAGACTGTTTCACCCACCTGACTCATGCTTCATTGCCTCAGCACCAGCTCCCCACTACTGCTTCCCCACCGGGGCTAACACAGTCCTCTGTGGGAGTGGCTGGCTGAGCCAAAGCACTCAAACTCACAGTTGCAAGCTCTGGGTCCCTAAGTCATCACCCCACCACATTCCCACGAGCGTCCGCAAAGTCCTCAGCAACAGTTCCTATCACTCCCCTGTACAGGTGGCAGTAAGAACCAAGAAACAAGTTGACCTTGACCAAAGGGATTTGAAACCATATTCTCATCACACTTATAATGCTTCTGCAAACCTCGGTCAGTACAGTATTCCTGGAATTGCTGTTTCAGTTGCGATCTGGAAGCAGAAGATAGTATGCTGCCTTCCTTCCCTTGTGCTATTTGGGGGGCAGCTGCTACCACCAGTGAAGGTTTCCTGGTGGGAAGTTAGCTATGTAGCCAGGGTCTAAAGCATCTCGTTATTTCAGAGATTGGCTTTTGGTGGGAATATTGGGACAGAAGGGATTCAAGATGCTAAGCCTATCTGTGCGTATTTTCGACACTTACTAAGTTGCCAGCTTGACAGAGGAGAGAAATCATTTATATAACATTATGCTAACAGAAAGCACTTCATGGTGTTGCTGGTAAGCCCTCCATACTAAGTGGGTCCTTTTAACACCAGTGTCATGAAAGACATATACATTTTCTTTGGCAATAAAACAGCATTGTTCAGCCTTTCACTAGTTTACTGAGAAATAGTATACTGAGAAAGTTTATTTCCTTCTGCATTACTTTCCACGTCTCTCTGAGGTTCTGGAAATGACAAGGCAGCAGTTACTCTGGGAAAATATCCTCTTTGCTTAAGTAGACATCCTTAACCAGTGCCCACTACACCTGATTAAACACTACATGATGGATCATTTGTCATCACCAGGAAAAAAAGGTTGGAACTTCAGTAACCAGGCAAACCTATAGCAGACTGGATGGTCAAGACATGCGAGTGATTTCTTTTGTGCCAGTTTGTTACTGACAAGCTAGCAGGCATGGGCCACTGCCTGCACAGACTGCACAGGGGAAAGCTTTAGCAGTTGCTAGTAATTCCACTGATTCTTTTGAGCTTCCCACATCCATGGTCACTGCATGTACATGAAAGATCTGCATAAGAAACGAGACATAGGTGTAATCCCACCAACACTACTGGAATTTTCTAGAGACTAGGAGTTACAGAGTGGCTTATGACAACCTGAGCTATTTCTTCCAGTCAGTCTTGTTCTGACATGCCCACTGTACTGGCTCGTACTAAACATTTTGCCTTGGAAAATGATAGCACAGGAACACAAATCAGAATATAATCCAGGCTTGCGTCTTTTTTTTTTCTTTCTAAAAGATGATAAAATGTTATTCATTAAAAATGTGTCCTACTTCAGCATCTTCAGATGGCCATTGCTAAAGCAGTAACATGCTTCTCCACCTGCCCCAACCCTTCTCCCACAACAGGGGCAGTTTCTTATCAGCAAGGTATTCAGGGCAAAGGAAAAAGGCAGAAAGCCTATGACCAAAGCATCTGTGGATTTTAGGATAGCAATGATTGATTTCTAGTTAAAACAGGCTAATTTTGAGACTTATGAGATGTTGGCCTACCTAAAGATATTTCAGAGACCAATGGTTGTTGATAGATTTGGGAAAATCAACTAATACAATTTTGGAACTAGAGCTGAGCACAGGAAAAAGATGATTGCAGTAATCAGTCTATCTACATTGAGATGCTCCTAAGCTGTTTTCTTTTTAAATTCATTTATTACTATGAGCAAGAAAATCACAAAGCCTAAAACACTCTGATCATCCAGGCTTTCACAAGGGGGACACAGGCTTTTGCTTCTGCTTTAAGTCAGGCTACGCAAAGACATAAAGAAGCCTATGTACCTTGTGCCATCTCCAACTGAAGACTTGCCACTCAATTATTTTCTTTTTTCCAAATTGGCATTTTTGCTATCTGCCCAATCCACTTAGTTGAGCAAACTCCTGACCAGCACCAGTTTTGGCCATGTGAGCCATCTTTCTGACAAGCAGCAGAATAGATTTTTACTTCTCAAGTCTCCAAACCCATTTTTAAAACTGGCAACAAAGTATGAAAATGGAATGCATCTAAAAAGAACACAATTTAACCCAAAAACATTTTTCGATTTTTTTTCCTCTGGTAAACCTAATATTGACATATGTAGCTCTGTGTCTGGACGTAAATGGTATCACTTCCTATGAGGGTTTCTTTTTGTTATCTTTATGATGTAAGTATAATATGCTGGGTAGTAGACAGCTCCAAAATGACTACGGTACAGCTATTTGTTTGAGACTGCTGGCATCATCAAGAGTGTGTTCAGTTGTTTTAAGAATGTCTGAATTCTGTGTGGTAGTAATCAACTTGTTAGAGAATCAGTGTAGGGACGAGGAGATCTAATTAGGTATGCAGTTTTCAGTGTCATTTCTTAAGCTTCTGGGTCTTCAAACTCAACTGGAAAAGCCAAAAGCAAAAATTCCTGCCTAAATTCTGTAGCAAAACTAATCCATAGACATATCAAAATAAATGACGTATTAGAGGAGAGCAAACAGGCAGCTTGTCTTCAAGTTGGACTTCTGTGTTTTGGTTGAAATTATGCAAGGAATGGGAAGAGCCATCTGCTTTAGATTCGTGTAATACTCTTCAGCTCTGTTGTCTGTGTTATTAACTTTGTACCATGCTTGATAATAAGTTTGTAAGGTTGGCCAAGGTTAAGTTCTAATTGCATCAGCGCTTGCTTTATTCACAGCTCAGAGACACATGCCTGTATATTTGTCAGTAAATCTCATCTTGCTGAGTCCTCCTTTCTGAGGATGGAAACATTCATGGACATCAGCAAAAGTGATTCTGTGCTTTCACTGACATGTGGAATAGTTCACTATTTTAAAACTATTTTAAGCTAGCCATTATGATCTTAAAATCAAAATCACATTAAAAAGTGCAGTTAGACTTTTTTTTTTTTTGATGGGGGAGAGAAAAAAGAATCTTAAAGCTTACAGAGCACGGTGCTGATACCCCTGGCAATCTTAAAAATGTGATGCTGTGGGCTGTGGTGGTATAAGTCCCTTGAGAGTGCCCTGCCAATAAACTGCAGCCCTGTGGTGAAATGTCTGTTCCTAGAAGTGAGAGTAGTTCAGCCTCTGACCCCTCTGATTCTGTGAATGTTTCTGTGATAGTAAACTTAAAAAATTTAAACATCTCAATGGCTTTTAGAGCCCCAGAAGTTACTTATTACTCACTTTCTAAACACTTTAAAAGTCTCATTTAAGGCAGGTGAAGCCGAGCAGGTGAAGTGCATGGAGAGCACAGAGGGTGACTTCTGCAGCGTGCTGTCTTCCAGCACTGCACTGCTGGTGGAGGCCCCTCCACAGAAGCAGGTTCCTCAGCAGCTGGACTTTCATCCTGTCAGTCCCCTTGTGGGGAATACGGCTGGTGTGTTTCCTGCAGCAGTTTTGAAGTATTTGTGCAGGAGAAGTGTAAAGCAACTTCAACAGAACCTAAGAGACAGCTTGATGAATCTAACCCTCACAGGTGGCTTGCCTCACGTGCCTTCCAAACTTCCTGTCTTTCATTCAAATAAGTCAATTCAGAAACATCCATGTGCTGCACCGCTGTAAAAGCAGCTTTCCATGAGGACTTACCACATGAAAAAACATGCATAACAGAGAGCTTTCAAAATACTGAGTGAAAATTGGTGTCTGGGTATTCATGCAAAAAAAAAAAAAAAAGGTTGTGCTTGATGTGTGACTGGACTGCAACAAGCACGTGAACACTTAAAGAGCTAAACTGGCCTCCCTGAACTGAGGAAAGGTTGGAGTCCTGGTTTAAAGCTCTTCCCCAACACCCTTCCAAAGGAAACAAGGCTGGGAGGGCCTCAGGAGGATGGCTAAGCAACTTGGGGATTATTGGATGAACCGGGAGACTGCGAGTCTAACGCTCGTAGATCTTTCACATGAAAGACATATAGATAGGGACCAACATAGGGAATGGGGAGATTTTAATATTTTAGTATCTTTTGGGCAGTCCTGGTTATCTGGAATGAGGCTCATGCCTGTTCCCAGTGCTGTCATACCACCTCCTTCTATTTTACTACCTTGTTTACACTGTCTTGTTCGGACTGAAAAAGTCTTTTCAGTCCTGTTAACCATTTAACTGCTGTATCCCTCAGCCATCACAAAACAATGGTGACTGAAACGCCTCTTTAATTGCTTCCAAACACTGTTTATGAGTTACGAGAGACAGTTTTAGGCTAAAAAGATTGAATTGGACGACTAGTGTTAGAATTTGTCAATCTGATTATGTGACCTGCATGCATGAAAAGGATAGCTTTCCTGAAATACCCTATATGGAGGTCTGTACAATGATAAGAGAGTTGTTATAAATGGAAAATCAGATAGATGTTCACATTTGAATTACATGTCTTAGAAAAGACACAAGTGGAAGAGAACTGAGGTAAGATTCTCCAGGCACAAGTAATTCTGCCATTACTTCTGTTGGGAGTTTGATTTTACAACCTAATCATTCTTTTAACTGCTATTACAAGTGCGTAGAGGAAACCAAGTAATACTATGCAGGTCTAGAACATAGTTTATAAAAGGTTAAAAACTATTTGGATTATTTAACTGTGCATATTATGTAAGTCCCCGTAGTTCAGAGACTCCAATCATAGCTAGCTCTTCGTTATTCCTGGTCATGAGGAGGACTCTGGGGTTGTTAAAACAGCTGGATGACATGGGTACTAACAGAGACGTAAGCAGTTCTTTAGAGAGCTGTGTCATGAGTCCCTGCGTCTGTGCTATCTTCAACCCTTGGGAAGAGAGACCTAGCAAGAGATGTGTTGCCCAACACTAAAAATTCTCATCTCGGGTTGGAACAGGACAGCAAAATAACATACTGGTGATCGGAAGTGGCAACCCCCTGATTTCCAGTGGTGCCTTTTTCTGATTTGTGGCTCCTGAGATGCCAGCTCTAGATAAGGAAGGAAAGTAAGGCTGGTCAAGGCTGCCGAGAGACTGTACAGCGAAGGGCACAGTGCCCTGACAGGTCCCAGCAGAGGTGATCATTAGGCAGAGTAAGGGAGAAGCATAATGAGTGTGATTTATTGCATGCTTTCGCAATTCATAGTATCCTTTTACAGCTTTGGGCAGGTTTGCAGGTAATGTCATGAGATTGTAGTGACAGTAGATGGTTTCAGCATTTATAAGGTACTGCATCCCATGAAATACACAAGCATGGTGAAAACAGCTTTTCTAACAAAGAGCCTTGAGTTAATGAAAGAGCAATAGATTTTCTGGAGTACTAGTGTGTTCATTTAGCAAACAGATGTGGCACTTACTATACCCATCTCCCAACCCAGCCATTTGTTATCACTCTTCTGCCAAAGGTTACTTGAAAAAGAACCATGAGAGCACTCCTTAGTCATAAACAGCAGCTGGTGAGGCTGTAATATCCTGAAGCCCCTGCAGCTGTTTGCTAAGTGGATGCATGTCTGAGCTCCTAGGCATCGCAGCCTTTCAGGTACTTCTGAGTATCTCACCCAGAGTCCACACGTAACCTTTATTATTCATTCCTATTCTTGTGTCTCTACAGCATATAGCGATTTGGGGTATTACATTATTAATAAGCTGCACCATGTGGATGAATCCGTGGGAAGTAAAACTCGGAGGGCCTTCCTTTATCTTGCTGCCTTCCCTTTTATGGATGCCATGGTGAGTGCCTGATTCAGAACTGAATTTTAATATTAATGTTATTTTTTTTCTTTGGTGACCTTAGTTCACAGTCTGTTACCTGATGGGAAACTGGAGGTGTGCAGAAGGAAGGTGTGTCCTTTGCAAGCAGTAGCTCTGGATATACCTGGACTCATCATCTCCTGCTACCTGGAAAAAGCATCTGGGTGGACTTTGAACATCCAGAGATCACGACAAATATAAAAAACCTCAGCTGCCATGTTAGAATTACTGTATGTGCATGCTGGAAAGCACTGGTCATCTTGTGATGAGCTGCACCGATTGTCTGTATGTGTCCTCTCGTTCCAGTTTGTAGTGAAAGAGTTGGATTTGCCCTGCCTTCCGAGATCATTTGCAGAGCTCACAAGGAATAAGCTCAATGTTTTCTCAAAGCAAATTTGTTGAAAAGATATTTTCTACCATCAATTTTTGCAAGCACAGCTAAGTCCAGTATATCTCAAATGCTTGGGCAAGAGAGCTGCTGCTTCCCAGATCACCAGGCTTACTGCTTGCGACCAACGTAAAAATATGGCAGCTCTCTTTAATGCCCCTGCTTCTGCGTAAAACTGGTAAAGGATAACCTTCTCATGGCATGCCTCCACCACTTTCTCTACCACTTTGTCTGCTTGAAACAGTAGCTAACAATAAAAAGAAGTTGGATCATTAAGTTTTCTTTTCCAGACAGGACTCAGTATAACTCAGTGGGCCAATGAATATTACACTTCAGAGGTGCATCCAGCTGGTGAATGAGAATAAACATTTTTTCCCTCAGATTATTTAGTATGATAATCCATCCTGTGCAGCATCTGTTTTATGAAGAAGGGACAGTTTCTTATTAGATCTGCTCAGAAATTTCTATACAGTGCATAAAATTATTCCCATTCTCCCTGTCAGCCCTGGCAATGAGGAACTGAATGCAGCAGTGCTTTCTCTGCATTACTGGCTTAACATTTGCCCAGGTTCACACCAGGTGCTGCTGGTGGATAAGAGCTTTATAAGTCATATACAATGTAACAACCAGAAAACAGCATTCTGAGGCCTGAAATCATTCACAAATATCGTAATCATTTCCCAAACTCTTCTCTGCCTTTTTTCAGGCATGGACCCATGCTGGGATTCTGCTGAAACACAAGTACAGTTTCCTAGTGGGATGTGCCTCCATCTCAGATGTCATAGCTCAGGTAATGACTCCTCTCAGCAGTCACTATTTCCATTGTGTTTCGGACTAGATGCTTTCCTAAGCAGGAACTCTCTTGCACAGAGACTTCCTTCTCTCTCTACCCTGAACAACACACCAGAAGAATTAATCTTGTGTGCTGTTCTCTGGCTGTTTCCCTGTCGTGTGGAGGCTGTTTGCTGACAGTTGTGGTTTAGGCTGGTCTCACTTGACTGCATCAAGTCAGTCCCAAACCAACGTCAGAAGAAGGGAACCAGGATTGTCTGGGGCCATGTCTTCTAGCACCTCCGCAACCCTGTTTCAGAATGGCTGAGAAACAAGCTATATATACACGTGTACATCTGGGAAAAAGAAAGATCAGGCAAAGAGACTGATGGCTGCTGCCAGTCCTGAGGCTGACAGAGTGCTTTGAAAGAGACCTTTCTCACCCTTGCGCGTTCTCCCCCACACTTCACACAGTTGCACTGAAATCCTGAGTGGGGCTTGTAGGTGGGGAAGTGAAGGCTTGATTCTCCCGTTCACCTGCCAGTTTTGCACATGGTGTCTAATCCAGTGAAATGCAGTAGTGTAAGCCATCTTCTGAGTGCCAGTATGGCACTGTTCTTGTTACTGGTCCAAAAGGTGAAGGCTCAGAACTGCAGCAGAAAGGGTCTGTGGAGATAGCCCCTGGGTGATGCAGAGAAGACCAAATGTTGTTTGAACTTTCATGTGTGAGGGAGGTGTTAACTACCCTGTTGCTTTGTACTAGACACACTTAAAAACCAACAGTCATACACATTGCTGATGGGCAGTGTTGTAGCATTTGAGAACCAATATGCATCCCTCTTTAAAAAGCGTATATAAAAATATTACGAAATGGAGAGTCCCAGCACCTGTAAAACAGTTGCTGTACTGCCCCATTACCAGCTGAATGCTGTAATGACTGAGTAAGAAAGAGGATAATAACAGTACAACATCAAAGGAAATATGAAGTCAACAGCACTAAGTTCAATTTTCCATAGCATTTCCCTCCCACTAAATATGAGCAAACCATAAACCATTCAGTCAGCTGTTATTCTATGTTTGGCAGGTCTGTCCCTCTACAGTACTGCACTAAATCCCTGAAGATAATACCAATTACTGTAAATGACCTTAACCCTCAGGATCTGCTCTTGTTCTGGTGTGACCTACAAAGTTTGCTGACCCTACATGCATGTCAGGTCACATACAGCTAAATTCAGAAACAAATTCTTATTTTGGCCATAGCACACATGCCCTTTCCACAATGGTTGGTGAGTGGGGTGCCAGGGTTGTGAAGAATAAGACACCTGTCATCTTCTCTCCACAAAATATTGCACAGAGCAAGAGCAAATCCAGAAGACAAAAAGTTGTGACTCTCCATATTCCAGAACTCTCTACACCTACATCTGCTCCCTACCCAAGCAATAGGTGAACAGGCAGTAGCTAATTCTCCTTGGGCAGCTGCATAGACACACTTTTTGTGACTGACTTTGCTTCTGTTTACTGAAAAACAATTCTTTTGTAGGGTCCAAAAGAGCAGTTTAGCAAACCCTCATAAACAACACCACATGCCTAATAAACATCTGCACAGTGTGATTTTTCTGAAGTATTTCTTGAGCTCTAGCAATGAAGGAGAGAACCTGCCCCTGAACAATGTGTTTTGTATTTCTTGGAACTCATTGAATGCCAGCATGTCCCGGCAGGGTTGTCCTTGATTCTGCTGTTCACAGCACCAAACACAGTTGGCTTTCCAGTTGTGCCCCCCATCCAGAGACATTTGGAATTTAACAGGCACGCTGTCAGCTCTGTACTTAATGAAGAGTGTAATGTCATATTAATCAAATCCTTTGCATTTTCTGGATTGAGCATTTAATCTTACGAGACTGAATTACGAGCTGTTCATTAGCCCAAAAGTTTCCATTTCATTTACATCAATGTGGCACTCGGCTGAAGAGAGAATGATGAAATACTGAAATTTCACTCAAAAAAGTAGAAAATCAGGATGACATAAGACTTCTTGCTTCTAAATGCTGAAGTGAATACTTTAAAACATCTGGCTTTTTAATTGCCATTGCCTCCTCCCCGCCCCCC